CCCCCTTCACCTTTCCCCCCCAAAACCATCTCTCGTCCCCCCTTTTTTTCTTCCTCCCCTTTTGCAAAAGATGTCCAGCATTCCCAAAATCGTCCTGTTCGGCGGCACGGGGTTCGTGGGAGGTCAAGTGTTGTACACTTTGCTGACTGGCGATTTTTCGCTAGGCGAAGCCGAAATCGTCGTCATCACCTCTTCCGAGTCGAAGCATCGGCTGATCGACAGCTGGGCGTCCAAATTGGGATGCAAATTGCAAGGACGTTCTTTGAGCGTAATTGTGGCGCAACGAGGAGGAGGAGGAGGAGGAGCTGGAAGAGGAGGGGATGGGAATGCGTGGTACGAAGCTTCGGAAAAGATTAGTTCGGATGCGGACCTCGTCCTTCAGGCTGCCACGTCGGACGATTTGAAGCTGACAAAGGCTATCAACAAGGGTCTGATCAGTGCTCAGAAGAGCGGAAAGAGGGGCGCACTGATTCATTTGAGCGGCACTCAACTCATAGAGACCTTGGCCGGCGGCAATGCGGAGCCGAAAGCTAGGCAGTACGATGATTCTGATAGAGATGCCATCGTTGACATTTCGGACGAAGCTGCGCACCGGCTGATCGATCTAGAGTGAGTCACGCTCACCAGTGTCCCATGTGTGACTTGAAGGTCGACGCATTCACTCGGCCTGACTCGCAGCGTCCCCTTGCCCCACAGGATTGGGCACGCGATTGCGCGCGGAGAGCTGCCTGGCGCCATCGTTTGCCCTACGCTGGTCTGGGGTCAAGGACAAGGGCCGGATCTGCGCATATCGACGCAAATTCCAGATTTGGTAAAGAAAGCTCTGTACAACGGCCATGCGGTGCACGTCGGTGCAGGTACCAACAGCTGGACCTCGGTCCACGTAAGCGAAGTGTCCTCTCTCATCCTGCTCCTTTCCGCTTCTCTGCTCTCCTCCTCCTCCTCCTCTGGCAAAGCGTCGAAGCAGAAAGCGGCAGGTGGCGAACAGCTGTTCGAGTCTTTTTACTTTGCCTCGACGCCCAAGCTGCACCTGTTCAAGGACCTCGCTTCCGTCATTGGCAAGACGCTCCACGCTCAAGGTCTCATCTCCTCCTCCCAACCCAAATCCCTTCCCTGCCCACCTCACAATCCAAACGAGAAGGGCGTGCGCATCGAAGACGCTGCTAGATCCGAAGCAGACGAAGAGCAAGACAAGCGCACACCAATCTGGCCTACTCGTACCAATGTCGACTGCATCGCCAGTCGTGCCGAAAGAGAAGTGAGCTGGAAACCTACCAAGCATCTCGATGAGGAAGGCCTCGCAGCAGATGTCAAATTCTACGTGGAGCAGTGGCGTGCTGATGGCACCCTCAAACAGCTGCAGCGAGCCTGAGCGGAGGACTCTATGCTAATACATCGCAATGACATGCAAGGTTAATGGTGAACGGTAACAAGGGCCTGACCCGCAACTGCGGGCTCCGAGACAGCCTTCAGAAAGCTAAGACGTGTCTCTACGAGCGGCAGCAAATCTTCGAAGTGCCTCGGAAGCCTCGGAGCGCTGACCACCTCCGCTGCTGACAGTCTGAGCCCCAGTGATGGTGGCTTCCATGTTGTTGGTCGCATCTCGGCCTGATTGTGAAGACCTTCCACTCGCAGATGCGCCGTCGTCGTTGAGTGCTGGTGTCCGGGGGCCACCCCTGCTTCTACCCCACGTCATCGCCAAACGTGCAAAGCTTGGAGAAGAGGGGTTAGACGGGCGACCAGCAGATCTGCCAACTGTGGAGCTGTGCGTATCTCCGGCAAGGCTGAATTGGGAATCGGTCTTGCTGTAGCCCGACCCGCCAGCTGATGAAGAAGCGACGCTAGTGGCTCGCTTGACAGGAGACTTGCTGGCTGTCTGGCCAAGAGCAGAGTCCATAGTCGTGATTGCTGCAGACGGACTTGCACCTTGTGAGACTCCGACCGAGACAGTCGAGCTTCCAAGATGGGCCAACATCAGCGAGTTGCCGCTTACGCTGACTCTGTTCGAGCGCGCAGACGTGGAACGAGGAAGACGCGCTGCGGTTTCGCGACTGACTGGGTCTTTGGAAGCCGAATGGATAGCGCTCGCACCCTCATCTCCGGACGCCCTCAGGCTTTCCGCCCGGACTCCCTGACCAAGCAAAGAGTGCTTGCGCTGCCTGGCAAAGTAATCCGCAGTCTCTGGCTGATTCCACACGCCTGGTCCAGCCGGGCTCTGCGAAAAGGGGTTTGGTGTGGGCGCCTTGGCTGCACCCTTCGTCAGGCCCGAGATGAGGGCAGCACGGCTTGTCCGCAGAGGCGCACTGTTCTGACCTGATGCAGCACCGATCACAGACGTGGGCGATGCTACCAGACTGTGCGGAGTGGAGCGAGTGGCAGGAGCTGCGAGTCTGTTGCGCGCTTTCAGCTTGCCAAATGCTGGGGCGGTAGTATCCGGCAGCGACCTGTCTATGGGCCCTAGCGCACGGTCTTGGCCCAGCGAAGCAGGTCTAGCCCATTGCGTTCGAGCACTTGCCCCCAAGATCGCACTGTATCTTCCAGTCTCGGGCGATGATGCTCTGGAGCTCGATCGTAATGCACGGGTGATGCCAGACGGAGATGTCGCGCGCGATTGCGAAGCTGCGCTCGTTTCGGCAACGCCGCTGTTGTCAACCTGGTTCTCCACAGAGGTCAAAGCAGGCGCTCGATCGTCTCGAAGAGACACATCGGGGCTCTCAGGAGGAAGACCAATGTCGTCTGCTGCGGAGTTGGGCACATCCCAACCCGCACCCCCCGACACGGCTCTCTGCGTTTCGCCGAGAGTGGCGTCAGCACGCGTCTCCTTTGAGCTCGCGGTCGCATCTGTGAGGGCGCGTTGAAGTCGCGTGTGGGGCTCAGCGCTTCCTCCCATCTCGCCTACTTTCGATGGAGGCGCAGTGGGAACATTGGGAGTGCTACGACGAGTGCGCAAAGCGGGCGCCACATCAGCTGCATTCGCTGATGCAGCAGCGGAGCTGGAACTGGTGTTGCTCCATCCGTCCACGTCTAGCATGTAGAAACGAGACCCTTCGGCCAGCTGCATCGGGTTGTTGACGCTTCCGTCATCACCTTGGCGCACCGCGTTCGATGCGATGCGCTCGTCAATGTTCGTGATGCGGGCCACGATCCACTCTTTGGTCTGCAGCTGAGAGCCGAGCGCACCTTTAGCATTCAAGAAGTAGTGCGGGAAAGAGATGTTGAAGGCAGCCCACGGTCGTACACTAGAAGCGGCATTTCGAGTGGGCAAGAAGAGAGCGAGATCGCCCGCCGCGAAATTGCGGAATGCGATTCTTTCTCTTGCAGCATTGCTGGCACGCGCAACCTTTTCGGAGGAGTTTCGATACGCTTTCTGCCATTTGCGAACAAGTGTGGTGAGACTGTCGAGCTTCGCTCTGGCCTCGTCGGGGGCGTTGCCTTGAGTGCTGCCAAGGTGCAGAGCGCGCAAGGCTGCGCACACAATTTCTACGTTGGCATCTGCAGCTACAGCCTCGAATGCGTCAATGGCGATTTGGCGTTGATCCTCTGTTGATTCGTCGATTTCCTCGTTGACGATGTCGACGGCGACTCCGTCCGAGCTCTTCGATTTGGAAGAGGACAAGGCTGGCATCGAGCGAATGAACTTCCTCAAATGTATAGTCTTGGCGACTAAAGGACGACTGCCAGCCAACAAAGTGTCAAGCTGCCGCTCGGCATGTCGACGCGCGACTTCCGCATCCATGGCCTGGCGCACAGTGTCCTCGTGCGTCTCGTCTGCAGCGCGAAGCTGGCCTCTCAAAGTCTCAGCAGCTTCTTTGTGGACGAAGATCTCGCCTTCTATTTGTTCCAAAGCTTTCTTGGTGCGCTCGAGCTCAGTCTGTGTTCGTTTGAGAGTCTCCTCCAAAATGGCTCGGTCGCCGTCGACCTCGGCTCGATACGAGCGGAGCGCCTTGTCCCGCGCCTGCTCCGCTTCTGTCAAGGCGTCTCGAGCCTCGCGCATTTCAGCGCGCGTCGTTGCTAGTTGAGATACCAAGCCATCGATGTGCTCTTGCGCCGCGCTCAGCTCGCGCTCAGTCGTGGTGCCCTGGCCCAGGAGAGCTTCAATGCGGTTGCTTGCATCCAGCCTGGCAGCTTTTGCATCTTCAAGTTCTGATTGCAGGTCTACAGTATGCGCTTCGAGCTCTGTAGCGCGCTCACTCTCCTCAATAGCCTCTGCGCGAGCATCCGCTTCGGCTCGCCTCGCGTCTTCTGCATCTCGTCGAAGGCGACCAAGCTCGTCTGCCATGTTCAGACGTCTTGCCGCTTCCGTCTCTGCAGCTGCTTTCAGATTTTCAACTGCCCTTGCATTCGCCTGGCGTTCACCTCGTTCTTTGCCCAGCTCGCTGTTCTTCGTCCTCAGCTCGGCGCGCAATTGCCCCATTTCCACGCGCAACTTTGCCACTTCAGCATCGTGCGCTTCAGCATCAATGCGCTCTCGCTCTTGCGCCAAATTTCGCGCTTCAATCAATTCGTGTTCTAATCTGCCAGCTCTTTGTTGGGCTTCTTCTAGCGCCGCTTTCGCCTTGGAGTCGGCTGCTCCATTCCGATTTCTAGTTTGGGGCGCCCCATTGGCCTGCGGGTCGGAGTACTCGGAGTCGCCATCTTCACTGCTCTTACCTCGACCCAAAAGCCCAGCTTCGACCAGTGCGCTGAAATCGTCTTCAGTCTCGTCGAGCCGCGTCAAGAGCTGGTTGAGGGCTTCCTTGACTATCTGCATGGGCCTGCTGAGGGCGGCGGCCTGCTCCCGAGATGCAGACTCGGCCTGAATTGCGATCTCGACATCGTCGAGGGTCGTCAAGAAAAGACGCACATCATCTCGACTGAGATCCGCCAAGGCGCTATCTCCTTTAGATGTCGAGATCTCCAAACTTAAGGGGGCTTCTTCCAGACCTTTTACTTCCCACGGCAGCAGGCCCATGACCTCGCTACGATATTCCTCTCGACGCTTGCGCTCGTTGGTGGAGAGCCGGGCCATGAGCTCAGCGACAGCATGAGCTTTTGCCATGAAGTGCGCTGCAAACTCTCGTCGGCGCACCACCTCCACTAGGGTAGCTCCGTACGCAAACACCATGTTCTTGAGCCGGGCCAAATGTCGAAATCCATCCGTCTTATTGCTTCGCAGATCTTGCTCCAAGGCTGTGAGGGAAGCTGCCAGATCAGCGTAATCGGACTGCAGACTGCTGATATCTCCGAGGATCTCTAGCGATCGATGCACCAGCTCGTTGTTGTCCGCCGTCAGGCGTCTTACGCTTTCTCTCCCCACTTCGTCTAGCAGTATGAGCTCCTCGACGCTGCTTTCGACCTGTGACAGAGCACTGACGTCCGCAGCCAAAGCCTCCGCGACGGGCCAGCCGTGCTCGTCCGGGGAGCACGTCTCGAGCAGATAGCTGTTGACCTCCTCAGCGCGCAGCAAAGCTTGCTCTGCGCCCTCGAGGGTCTCCTGCGACGGTTGGATATTCGTAACTTCCACCTCTTCTCGCAGCCCGTCCGTGTCCCCGCCGAGCTGGGCCGCATATCCGCGAACCTCTTCAAGCCTTTGCTGAAGCTCCGTATGCACCTCTGAGCACGAGCTGAACACTGCGCCCATCTTGGACGCGTGGACATAATGCGCCAGCGTCCTCTCCTTCATTCCACCTTTGCTCATGCTCCCACCCGTCGTCGACTTGCTAGACTCGCCCGGCAAAAGTCGAGGGTTGATGGGCACCAGACTTAGCGCTTTCAGATCCGTCTGATTGCCTTCGAGCAATCCTCGCATGCGCTCCAACTCCTTCTCTGCGGCTTCTTGTACCTTTGTAAAATGTCCGCGCACCGTCTCTGAATGCGTGTTGAGGTTCGACAATGCGACCAGGGTGCTTCGCTGTATGGCTGCTAGATGGGAATGGAAAAGCCTTGCTGAAGACGTGTGCTCGTTGAGGCAGGCCAACAGCTGCGTGGACCAGCCCAGCAGCGAGGCCAAGGACTTTGGCGTGGGTGGGCTCGCCAGCTCAAATTCTGTGCAGGTGTGGGGGATGGGCTGGTGAATGACTGTCCTCGCAAGCATCCGACTTATGCGCCATACTCACCAGCCACAGGAGCGTGGAGAGTGATTGGCAATGCCAGCTCTTGCTGCAGGGCATCGAGATCCGCAAAGAGAAAGTCGCGATTGTACACGAAAAACTCCTTTTGTCAAAGTGCAATATTTGTTGGTGACGATCAGCACTTGAACAGCCCAGCACGAGGAAAGCTGCACCGCACAGCACAAAGAAAAACAACTCACGACATCGTCCGCCTTGCTGATCCCTTCGCTCGTAGAGAGGTGGCGCATCGCATCCTGCGTCAAGTGGTCCCCATCCGCAGTCATGCAGATCATAGCATCGGTAGCAATGCCCGTGGCGAGGGAGAGGGCATCCTGAAGGTCATCGAAGCTACCGGGCGCGATAAACATCGATCAGACCTAGAGCGAACGAGCAGACGTAAGTGGGTGAGTGACTCACGATTGAAAGTCGGCCATGCGCTTCCCCACCTCGAATCCGTGGCCATCGTGAGCTCGCCAGATCTTCATGACGAAGACGACGAAGACGACGAAGACGACGAAGCCGACTGCTTCGCGGCCGAGTCAGAGTACCGCCAATTCGCTTTCTGGTCTCGTCTTTCTTCCCTCCTGCTGAATTTGCACGGCGTGGGAATCAGCAGGTAATCGGGTGCTCATGCGCTCAGCCACGAGCCAAGCTCGATCGTGAATGGTGACAGATCAAGCTTGGTAGCGAGCCCAGCAGCAGGTTCCAGTTCTGCTGAATGCTCGATAACAAAGCTTTGCGGTCCAAGCTATGTCTGTCCTTGACCTGCAGATTCAGTGGGGGAATGATGGTCGAGCATGCGTGTGAAGCTGAGCCCAATTGGCGCGCCAATCATCACGTAGTTGGAAATCGTGAATCATCAGTCACTCAAACTTACTACTACTACTTCACCTCGACTCGAAGCAGCTCGATCAGTCATCATCAGTCACGAGTCGCAACGCAAAGCGTCCTGCTGCCCGTTTATTGCGGGCCAACTCGATCGAGAATCGTAAATGAGCGGCGCCCATGGCACACGCGCAGCTGCTGTGCGTGTGTTGGGAACTAGATGAACCGTGCGCGCACCTCCATCCGCGCGCTCACGTACGCTAGTAGTGGTGACTTGATTGACTTTGCATACTTAGTTGTGAATTGTCAAGACTCGTGACTTCTTGTCGTCATCGTCATCGAGTCGAGTGTACAGGCCCCACTAATCGTGCTCACGCGAGTGAGTACAGCAAAGTCATCAGTGCAGCAGCTCAACACTCAGACTCATGCTGTAGCGTGGTCAACATCACATGACCCATTCGCCAGTCACATCCTGTGCACTCAGCAAGACCGCAGCCGAGTAGGAATAAGAAGCCCTTGGCCCATGATGGAGCGCGTTCTTGATATCATTGCGACTGTCGATACGCGGCTTGCAACACCTGATGCTACACTTGCCCATCCCTCAGTGCCTATCTCCGCTTTCCAAGCACCTTGACCACAGCATTCTTGATCACGCCCGCCGCTTTTTCAATCTCCTTCTGCGTCAGTCCAGCCGTGACGGCAATCCGGATGCAAGGTCTAGCGTGCGCACCCGATTCCAGCGCTTTAGCATTGATGCTGGGCAGCGTCTTGTGTCTTGTCAAAAGCACTCCATTCCTCAAGCCTTCGTCCACGATCAATTGAAGTAGTCTTGCCTGTTCTAGTCCTGTCAGGTCGTGACCCAACACCAATTCCTGAGGTACGCTCAAAGATGCGTTGCCTTTCGGAGAAGCAGGATGAGGATCGGCTTGACTCCGAACTTGGACGTGAATCAGCGGACTGGCGGCATCCGAAACAATGACAATGCTTTCGATGGGATTAAGCGTGCTCCTAATCGTTGCAATGTTGCTCCTCAGTCGTTCGAGCACATCTGGGTGCGCCTGCAGATACTGCATGCACGTTGACCCCGCGACTGCCAGCATGGCTGGCATAGCGGCAGAGTAGACGAATGAGGCAGCATTGATCCGTTGATGCTCCGTCATGGTGGCCGCACCTGCGCAAAACCCGCCTGCCGCACCAAGCGTATTTGACATGCTACCGCACAGAATGTCCACCTCGTTTGGCTGGCGAGATTGACGAGCCAGCTCATGGTCAGCCTCTGCGCAGCTTGGCTACTACCAGCGCCCTGGACTCACATTGACGCCACAAAGCTCAGTCATTCCTTTGCCCGACTTTCCCGCAGTCCCGAAACTGATACCTTCATCCAAAATCAATCTAAACTTGTACTTCTTCTTGAGATCGCAGATCGCCTTCAAGTCCACAGCCGCGCCGTCACCTTCAAAGATGCCTTCCGTGATGATGAAGCGTCTCGTGAGTCTTCCTCGCCTCCGCTTGTCGTGCTTTGTGACGTCCGCCAAGACGCTCTCGAGCGAGGAAAGAGAGTTGTGTTCGTACCACCGGACAAAAGATCGTGAAGCCTTTGAGGTGCGAGCAAGTGAACAGGTGCCACGCCATGAGCTTGCGCCCACTCAGGGTCCTTAGGGTCACCACTGCTGCAGCGAGACTTACCTGAATGCCCTTCTGGATAGCAAAGTTGACGCCCTTGTCTGCGACTATGACGTCTCCTCTCTTCAAGTAGCAAGGAATGACGGAGCTGATGGTGCTGAAGCCTTGAGAGTATATGATTGCGCTCTCCACTCCCAGAAACCTCGCTAGATCCTGTTCCAGCGTCATGTGAACATCAATGGTACCGTAGAACCCAGGCGGGCTGCAGCTTCCAACACCGTACTCTCTGAGCGTATCTACAGCTGCGTCTCGAATGATGTCGCTGCCAGCCAACCCAGCAAAGTTGTAGCTGGCCAGATTGAGCATCTCTTTGGCTCCCTTTGCGCTCCCACCGATACGCGCGGGCAGCAGCACTTTGGGCTTGGAAGAAAGTCCGCCGCTGATTGTAGGCACCGAGTCCAGCTCTTCCTTTTCTATGGCAGAGAGCGGTGCAACCAAAGGTTCAGGATTGAATTCGCTGACCAATTCGTCAATCTCCCTTTCTGAAAGCTTGACAAAGTTGCTTCCGCTTTGATTTCCGCGAGTTCGACTTTGAAGTAGCGTGCGAAGAGCGAATGCGAGAAGGATCAACTCTAGTAATGATCGGAAGGGATCATCTTGATAAGAGGACCGGACATAGCGCGCCACGATTGCGCTTCCTGGTATTCTGTGCGCTATGGATTCGGCCTGAGCCGCTAGTGCTCGCATTTGATCCATCTCGACGCTTTAGGCGTACGGGGGAGCTGCTCGACCAAGCCGCCAGAGTAGCCGAGTCTAAACTCGAGGGAAGGATGGCCGCACGCTCTCAGCGGTGAAGGGAATGGATTGTGTGACCGGGCGGTGTAGTTGTGGCGCTGCCCTGGCTGTAAGCGGTCGAAGCTCAATGGCAGTGTGATGCTCTTGCTACATGCACCTGGCTCAAACGCTGCTAATAGATGCGCGGCCTTGAGATAGGGCTGACCCAATGGTTCAGCTTAGCACATGCGATCGTTGGTGAGTGCGAAGCTGAAGGGTATAATGGTGCGTGGATAGGGAGGCCTTCTCACGAAAGAGAGCTGTCGTTTGCATGTGGTCGAGTTGGAACAGTGACTCACGACTTGATGCGTGCATGCTGCTACGGCCACCAAGAATCACGAATTGGAAATCTTGAAACCGTCCAGAATCTGGAAAGCACTCACTCACACTCACGCTCACACTCACATCCACACTCACAACTTTCGACTCGTGACTATCATCGCAGCTTTCCCTCAGGCTGAC